CTGCGTCCTCCCTCCCTCCCTTCCTTGGGCAGAATGAATTTGAAGGGGATTCTGTGACCGCCATCTGCGCACGGCGGTGGCGTCCTGTCATTTACACACGTTCTTCTCATTAAAAAGCGAATTATACTCGACTTACAGAGGCTCCTTCTCTCTCTTGGCCCTGGCAGCCAGGAGGACAGGCGACTGGGCCGTGGGGGCGGGGGGGGGGGGGGGGGTGAACGGTTGGAGTGTAACCCTGCGGGGGACAAGGGCACATCCCCTGACTCACCAGTCTCTCCCCTCTGCAGGCGAATATTTACACCCACGGTAAGGATGTCACCGTGCAGACCTTGAACAGTCCCACCCATGGTGAGAGTATTGAATTTTCACACCCACGAGGAGGGTGTCAGATATTCACAGCCATGGTGACGGTATCCAAGAAGGCCATCGTCAGCTCTTAACTGTTAAATACTTTAAAAATTATTCCTGCCCACACTGTGTTAGGGAACAAACAGACCCTTTGCCGTCACTGCTTTGGCTACGCGGCAGAAGAGAGAACAACCCTCCCTCCCAGCTTGGGTCTTGAGGCAGCTGCCAACTGGCGTCTTGCAGCCTTGGTAGAACGTGTCTCAGACACGAGCTGTGTTCCTTCAGGAGCAGAGCCGGAGCTCCAGAGAGGCTGTGGTTCTTTGCCATGGACGTGCATGCAGGATTGGGGCGGGGCAGGGTGTGGGGAGCAGTGGAGGAGAGAACCGAGACCCACGGGATGCAGAAATTCCCATCCCCTGCCCAACCTGTGAACTGGTGGTCAGCCCAGCACCTCGTCTCCCCAGGGTGTGGGCTTGGGCAGGCGGAGAGATGTGCGTCCTCAGGGGACCCTGCCCACCCTCCCTGGAGCTCCAGGTTTACCCTGCGAACCTGTGCGGCAAAATGAGCAGGGGGTCTTTGGAGCCCCGCAGGGCTCAGCTTGGCGCCTGGGCTGTAGTACTGATGCCGACAGGCAGGTGGCAGTGTTGGGCCAGAAAACAGTCTTGTCCAGCTCTGGCCCTCCCTCCGGTCCCGGGTGCAGGCCAGCCCCAACCTGGAATCCAGGATGGGTCAGGTTGTGCTGGCCACACCAGCCACAAGGGGTTGGCCGTGCCTGCTGGTGCCACCAAGCATCCCATGGCAGTTCCCTCAGCTGTAGTCAGACCAGAGTGATACAGGGGTGGCAGGGATACAAGTGTCAGCCCACAGGCTCATCTCTGCCATCCCCCTGTCTGCGTGGCCTCAGAATTGACACCACTTGGCACCTAGGGCCAGTGGCACAGACCCCACACAGTGATGTTTGTGGGGTGTAGGGAGAGCTCACGGCCTCCTGGTGCCTGTGAAGGGTCCACCCTCTCTTCCAACCTCACCCAGCCAGTCCTCAGCCCCCCACACCAAAGGGTTCATCCCACCCCCATCATGTTTGGTTTTCTTACTGCTCCATCTTAAAATGGAGGCTCCTGCTGTTCGCTGATCCCCATCTCTCTGGAAAACTCCTACACATACTTCAAAACCCAGCTGGGTCATTCCCTCCTCTAAGAACCCATTATCCCTCCCCATCTTCTCTCTCCTCTGGGTCTTTGCTAACACCCTGCAAGCTACTGGACAGAACCCCACGAGAGCAAAGATCTTGCCTTTCTCTTCCTGACTCTGTTGTTGACTGAGCCCCTAGCGACTGTTGAGCTGAACTGATGCTATGAGGATCCGATTCCATAGAAAATGAGAACGTGATTTGCAAAGTGTAGGACACTTGCTGGCTAATTTCCCAGCGTCTTAGAACACTGTGACGTTGGTTAGAGTGCAGATTCCTGGGCCCCACCCAGAGGATAGGAATGATTCTCTAGGTCCAGGGTTGGGGCTGGGAATCTGTGTTTTCATCCAGCGGCCCAGGTGTTTCTGATGCCCCGGCCCACCAACCCGAAGAGCTGCCGCCCACAGCGGGGGCAGGAACGGGCTGGTCCCTACAGCACTAGGGTTGGCTCAGGACGAGCCCACCTCGGGCCAGGTGACACAGACACTGTGACAGCTGACCTGGAGCAGTCGGGGTGGCTTCCTGGAGGTGGTGGTTCTTGGGGAGGGGATGGGCTGAGTGGAAAGAACCTGTGTGGGCAAAGGCTGGGAGCTGAGACCCAGCCGGGGGCATTCAGGAGCCCAGGGTGGCTTAGACAGAAGGCAGTGTGGAGGCCCTGGAATTTCTGAGACGGAACAGTCAATGCCCAGTAAGGTGATTTGCTGGTTTTCTGCAATTGAGTCTTGTTGGCTTGCAAGGGTGCTGGGTATATTGAGGGAGAAGCAGGCCAGGAGGCTAGTGCAGGGCCAGCGTGGGGGTTGGCACGGCAGAGAAGGCCAGGACAGAGCCCCACTGCCTCGGGGAGTGGGGATGGGGCCAGGCCACGTATGGGGCAGGCAAGAGGGCGTGTGCAGCACGCGAGTGCAGACAGACTGTGGAGCCAGCTGCCACGTAATGGCCACGTGACCCTGGCCAAGCCATTTGAACCCTCTGTGTCTCTGTTTCCCCATCTGTAAAATGGGATAATGATATTGCTGTGAGGAGTACCCCAGAGATGGGCTGTGTAGCTCTATAGAGACACAGTTTACTCACCTGTGCAGGAGTCAGCGGGACAAGGCAAGAAAGAAAGAATGGGTTTGTGAGGAAAGGAGAGAGAAGAGAAAAAAACTCCAGGTGGTCCGGCAACAGTGAATCTTAATTTGCATATTTACGGGGATAAACTGATTTGATCGCTGGCAGCTGGTGGGAGGGCGCCCTGGTCATTCCACCTTTAGAAGGCCAAGGAGGGCCCTCAGAGGAGACGCATGTGTTTTCAGGGCTTCTCCAGGAAGCCGGGAGGGTTTAGCTGTGGCAGCCATGTGACGGGCTGTCCTTCCAGCCCACCTCCTCCGGGGTTCAGCCAGGTCACGCTTCCTCATCAGAATGTCTCACCAGCTACCTCACAGGCTCACTGGGAAGATAAAATGCAGAAAATTCTGACAGCAGGGCCAAGCGGTCTGCAGACAGAGGCAGCGCTCCGCGTACGTGTCGGCCGCCAGGGCTGTGGTTTGCTCTCACCAAGGCTACTCTGGGGAGGAAAGACGAGACCTCGGACGGACGGGGCAGCTGTCTGTGGGGCGGGGGCCGCCGAGCTTTGGAAGCCTGCGAGTGTGAACCCAGAGATGAACCCAGAGACGGGCCGGGGCGACAGCAGAAGAGGCTGAGCGAGGCAGCTCAGGATGGGTGTTTGGGGCCAGAGCCGGCCCTTGACATTGGCGAGTGTTTGTGCCCCTTCGAGAGAGATGGACGCCCGGACCCGCCCCCAGCAGGGTCGCGGCTCGATCCGATGGCAGCCCAAGCTTTACCAGCACGGATTCTTACGGTCCCAGCCGCCAGGCAGGTAAGGCCACGTGCCTGCCTTGCAGATGCTTAGAGAAGTTAAGCGACAGGCTTCTTCTCCAGCTATCGTGCCCTGCCTGCCCGTGTTGGTCTTCCCCTCCTGGTGGCTTCAATGAGTGACCTCTGCCCCCGTTGCCCAGTGCATCTGGATCTGGGGAGTGTGGAGGAAAGGCAGAGGACAGAAGGGCCCTCTGCAGGCAGCAGCCTAAGCCTGGCAGCGGGGTCCCTGGCCTCCAGGCTCGCTGTTTTGCGGGTGGAAATCCCAAGGGCTGGGGCAGGACCCAGACGAAGTTGGTGCCTCTTTCTGCCGGGTCTCCAAGTCCTCTGGGTTCCCGTAGGACAGATGGCTGCTTCAGAGGCAAAGCGGGGCGCACTTGGGGGCCTGACGGGCCGCAGCCCTTGCACCCCACGTCCTCTTCCTCCCAGGCTGGAGTTCCAAGGTCATCAGGGAAGGCGGAAGCCGTTTGCATGATCAAAGGAGACGGTCTTGTTTGACACGTGCGGCCCGGGTCCTCAGGGAGAGGCTGAGATGGAGTCAGGAGGGTATGAGGCCTGTCAGGGTGATGCTTGCGAAAGACAAAAGGGACAGGAAGCAGGACCTGGCAGGGACTGAGCCTCGGTCAGCTGGGCCCATCCCACTGCACTCCCATTGGCGGGGCGCCCAGGAGGAGCCTGACAGTTGCTGGAAAGCTCTACTTAGAGGCCATCCGCTAACTGCACGCCTCAGAAGTTGTTTCTTGAAGGGACCCCAGAGACATCTCCAAGGTCACCGGATTCATTGGCACCGTCATTGCACGTGTCAGGAAGCCCAACCCACTTTTCTTTCCTAGTGGGGAAATCAGGGCTGTGACTGGAAAGCAAACTCGTGCAGCTGAATTTGCCTGCTGCCAGCGATGCGCCCCACAGCGTGTGTCTGCACAGAATCCCCTCTCTACACAGGCTGCGCTCTCGGAGTTCCCAAGGCTGTGTCTGCACCCCGCTTGTCCGTACTGAGTGGCCAAGGCCTCCAGGTTCTTCCTTTCAGTGACATGACCCTGTCCTTTGGCCCTGCCCTCCTGGCTTTCACCCTGGCCCCGCCCTGTTAGACATCGTCCTCCATCGAGGCAGGAGCCCCTGCAAAGACACCGGCACTCTCCCACTCAAGGACACTGCCCCGAGTGTCCGCCTCACAGTCTGGGGCCCCAGTGGCCCCTCCAACGATGTGGATCAGATGTGCAGAGGGTGTAACAAGGCCGAGGCCACCTGCTTTGCAGAGGCAGCCCGGGCCCTTCTCCGGGGACAGGTCTGGCTTTGGGTGTCTGCAGGTGCCGAGGGCTGGTGTGCGAAGTGCAAAGCACAGGAGCGTCAAACATGCAGATTCCCGGGACCCTCCCCGGAGTCAGACCCAAGTCCCTGGGCCTCTGCATTTATTACCCAGCTCCTGCGTGGGGCTGGCGCACTCAGGCTGTCTACAGGGATCGGGTGAGGGGCACAGGGCTCTCTCTGAGCCTTCCAAGTGTCTCCCTGTCCCCTGTGTGTAGTGGGGAGGGACCATGGGCCTATGAAGACCAGTCCCACCCACGGTGGGGTCTGAGGGTCTCAGAAACATGGAAGAGGGAGTCTCTTCGAGTCTGCACATTTTATTAAGATAATCGATTCTTAAGTTATTTCTTTGTTAATCAGAAAGCATCTCCGTGGCGAGAACATGCACAGTCTGTAGATATATAAAAATATATCAGTCACTTCGCCTCTCCTGAACGCTAGCTCCGAGCCGCCCCTCCCCACAGCGAGGGAGCTAAAGCCCTGTCTTGGGGGGATGCCAGAGGAGCGGCGGGGCAGCCTCCACCTGCTGGGTCCAATCAGATCTGAAGGCATCTCCGTGGCCACGCTGGGGGCTTCTGGGGCATTGGTGGCAGGCAGCCCCAGGCCATGGCCCCAGCACCCACGTATCCTGGCTCTTCCCAGGGAGCACATGGGTCTCCCGTCTTCCTCCCCTGACCTTGCACGTGTGTGGTGAACCCTGCTGCACTGGCCACTGCAGTGTCATCACTGTAGGAACGGGAGGCCTGAATGAGGGCAGCTGGACCCCACGGAATCTGAAAGCTGACAGCTGGCCAGGAGCCTCGGGCAGGTGGCAGTGGTCATTTCCAACGGCTTAAACGCCTCCCCTTGGCACCTGGCTCAAGGTCTCTGACGGTCCAGAGTCCTGGTCCTGAAGGTGTCGGGACAGAGGTTAGCAGGATGCCCTGCGGGTGAGGCTCCGGACACAGAGCTCAAAGGCCTCGGTGCTGACGGGCTATGCCCTCCATCCTCCGCACTGGGGCACGGGCACTGGGACAGCGCGGGCAGGGCTCCTCCAGGCCGCTCCCCACACACAACCCACAACCAGCCCCGGCAGCGTTGCCGGCTTTCGCCCAACCTCCCGGCTCACCGTCCACCAGAGGTTGCTGGGCTATGGCTCTGGGCGTCCAGCTGCACACACGTGAAAGGCCTGCTCTGGAAACAGCCCTCTCCAGGGGCGGCGGGTGTCTGGACAGCACTCCTCTTCCCTCCCACGTGGCCTGGGAGCCGGGGTTGGTGGGGGGCCCCCCGGCCAAGGCCGGGCCGGACGCCTCAGTCCTGCCGGCGTTCGGGGTGTGTCCACCGCTTCAAGGGCAGCCAGGACCCACACACCTTCTTCACTGCCAGGCCGTCGGGGCGAGCACCGCCTACGCACCTGCCCCCGCCCCGGGCTCCTCAGGAAAGCCAGGCCCACGCTGCCTCACCGGGTAGGTGCTGAGAAAGCGGCTGCGGCGCGGGCAAGACACAGCCCGGGGTCCCTCCCGATCGTGGAGCCCGTGCTCCGGCCGCCGCGGGGGCCGGGCTGCCGGTCAGAGCGGCGCGGGGCCCAGCAGGCCGGGCCCGGGGCGCGGGCACAGCTGCAGCTGCACGCTGGCTGTGAACCAGCGGCGGGGCCGGCCCAGGCTGAGGTGCAGGGTGGTGCGGAAGGAGCTGCGGGCGCGCTTGGGGAAGATGATGGTGGTGCTGCGGAAGCGCAGGGCGCGCGGCCGCGGCTCCAGGGTCAGCTGGCTGCGGTAGCTGCGCCACGTGCAGTTAGGCGCGGCCACGATCGTCTCGCTGTAGGCCGTGACCGTGGGCACCGGCGCGTAGAATACCTTGTCCCGGAAGTGCTTCTCCGAGGCGTACTTGACCTCGGAATTGCAGCTGCGGGGGAGGGCGGGAGCACGGGGGTGAGCCCCGGAGGCGGCAGCCAGGTCACCGTCCCGCGTGGTCGGGGGGGCAGTGCGAACACGGAACGGCCTGGGCTCTTCCGAAATGCCCAGGTCAAAAGGGCAAGGAAGGGCTGAGGGACCCAGCTGGCTGGGAGGAAACTCGAGAGACGGGACAGTTAAATGCCGCATGTGACGCTGGCGGGATCCTGAACTGGGATAAAAATAGGCCATAAAAGGACATTTGGGGACAGTGGGCGGGACCGGACCAGGCAGTGGCCGTGTTTCAGCTTTAGCTGGCCCGGTTTTGGCAAGTGCACTGTCATTATGTGAGAGGATGTCACTGTCCTTAGGAAGGACACCAGCCGGAGTTACTTAGAAGTTCAGGGTCACGGTGTCACTAACATCCTCTTAAACGGGTCAGAAGAAAGTTTCGTTTACGTAGAACGAGACAGTGAGCAGCTATTCAAGCCAATGGAAAGAGTCAATGAATCTGTCTAACGGGGGTTCCCTGTACTCTTCCTGCAACTTTCCTTAAGTTTGAAATGTTATCAAAATAAGTTTCCCCCCAGGTAGCCTCAGCACCTCTAGGTGAGTGACCCTTCTTACGAGGGACCAACTGGTCAGTGCCCCCAGCTCTGCTCCCAGATCGTCACACTGGAAGGAAAAGCTCCGGGGAGGGGCGTGGGGACTCCACCTGTCTCCCTCCCTGCTGCACCCCACAGGTGACCCGCGTGGGAAGGGAAGCAGGGGTCCCTAGAGCCCAGGCAGCTCGCATCCACCCTGGCTGGGGCCTCTGTAATAAAAACTAAAAAGGAGAGCTCTTTGGGAAGAAAAACTTTTAAAGGGGACCTGTTTGTCTCCTGGGACCCTATCCAGAGGTGAAGCGGGAGGAGGTAGTGGGTCCCACACCCCTGGGCAGGCCGGGGCGACGTGGACAAATCCATCCTGAGCGTCCCAGGGATACGCGGGTGAGACCCACGGACCCTAGACTCCACCTTCTGGAAGCCCGATCCCCAGAAGCCCTCCGAGGAGGGCAGATGGCTGGGGGAAAGCTCCCGGTGGGGTGGCCTGAACTCAGAAGTGCAGGTGCCGCCTGAGACGTCCTACACGTGGGAGGGCACCTAATACACATTCAGGGCAATGGCTCCCCGGGGGAAAAAGGGGCAAATTCAAAATAAAACCCAGCCAGGTTGGGGGTGAAGGTCAGTGTGGAAATGGTTGCATGTGGGCCGGGAAGGGCTGGAGAGGTGGCAGGGAAGGCCACCCGGGGATAGAGTCTCTTCAAATCACGGCTATGCCTCGTCGGGGAGCAGCACGCGGAGGGGCTGCCTAGAGGGAGGGGAGCCTGCTGAGCGCCCCAGCCTGGCCACCCCGCCCCACCCGGCCCAGCTGCCCCACTCACCGGATCTCGGGCGTGGGTTCTGGGTTCACCTCAATGCTCTCCCCAAAGAACACGGGCAGCATCCGGGGCCTCATCTCTCGCGCCGGGGTGCTCGGGGGGAGGGGGAGGGGCTGTGGGGAGAGCCAGGGACACAGGGTCACGTGAGCAGCCCTTTGGCACTGCAACCTCAGCTCCCCGCCAGGCACAAGGGTTGCCCCACACCACTCCAGTCCTGGTTTTCTGGAAGCCTGCTTTGCGGGGTCCATCGGGAAGCCCACCCCAGCGTCCCTCTGTGGAATCCAAGCACTCTGATGCCCACGGCTCCCCACCCAGCCACCGGCCTGCCCCTCACTTCCTGGGCATCTCAATAAGGGGACGTGGTAACGGCCTCTTTCTACAACGCCCAGCCCACCCGAGCCCCAGGAGCCAGGCTCAGAGCCCTGTAGAACTGGGACCCCTCTCAGGGAGCCCCTGAGCCTAAGCTGCGCCCCTGGGTGACACGTCAGGTAGGAGCTCTGCGAGGGACTGAAGACCGTGCTCGTCGAGGGAAGAGTTCCCCGCGCTTCTTGGTGCATGGCTGCGGGCCCCTCCTTCAGCTCCTGCACAGGCTTTCCCTGTCCTCGCCTGGACGAGGAGAGATCACAGCAGCTGTGCTTTCTGAGGGCTAACTGCACGGGCCGTTGCTCTGAGCTCTCCATGTATCCATACATTCGATCACGGGAGGGAGCTGTTACTAGCATCCCCATTTTATAGATGCTGAAACTGAGGCCCAGGGTGGCTAAGTAACTTGCCTGAGGCCACACAGCTAGGAAGAGGCAGAGCTGGGGTTGGAACCCTGGCGGTCTGGCTCCAGAGTCTGCGCCCTCACCCATGTTCCCCGGCTGCCTCTCGGGTCCACGGGACGGGTGCTGCAGCCCCAAGACCTGTCCTGTCACCTCCTGCTCGGAGCAAGCTTGCCCTCACACACAGGATCAAGGCACTTCCCACACAGGCCTCTGTCCATATATCTTTCACTCGCCTTGGCCACGGCCCAGGCTGCCTCTGTGCCTTGGTTTATGCTGTTCCCTGTACTAGGAACGTCCTTCCCTTTTCTTCTCACTTGGTCCGTCCAGGGTGACAACTCAGGCACCAGCTCCCTTGTCTTCCCCCAACATCCTCTAAGGGGTTCCTGGAGCTCCCACCTGCTGGTCTCCATTGCTGCGACCCCTTTGTGTGTCGCCCCCAGACCATGAGCTCCTTAAGATTCAGGACCTGATGACCTCTCTGGCCCCAGGGCCTGGCACCTCGCAGACCCCATGGTGTCCAAAGGCAGGACCTCACACGTGCAGAGCAGCGCCCTGCTCCCCTTCCACCTCTCCCCGCCGTCCTGTGAGCCCTTGGGCCAGGCCCACACCTGTCTTCAAATCCGCTCTCAGCCTATGGACATGGTCACCGCAGCCCCCTCCTCAGCTGATCACAGCGTCCCCAGAACAGGGGCCGAGGAAGGACCACAGGAAGAAAAGATCTAAGACTTGGAGAAAGAGGGGGTTCTCCATAGGCCCCCAGCAGCTGTCGTCAAGCTGTCCCATCTCTCCCTTGCTGGGCACGGCAGGTGCAATAATGACCCCCAAAGTGTGCATGTCCTAATCCCCAGAACCTGGGAGTGCGTGACCTTACAGGCCAAAAGGGACTTTGCACATGTGGTTAAGGATCTTGAGATGGGTCCTGGAGTGTCCAGTGGGCCCCCAATGTCTTCACAAGGGGTCCTTATAAGTGAAAGAGGGAGGCAGGGGGGTCAGAGTCAGAAAGAAATTGAGGACATTATGCTGCTGCCTTAAGGGTGGACGGGGCCAGGAGCCAAAGACTGTGGACAGCCTCTAGAAGGCGGGAAAGGCGAGAATTCTCCCCTAGAGCATCCAAAATCCTTGCTTTTAGCCCGTGAAAGCTGTTGTAGATTTCTAACCTTTGGAAGTGTAAGATATTAAATCTGTGTTGTTTTAACCCACTATGCGTGGGGTCATTTGTTAGAGCAGCGACAGGAAGCTAATACACCATGGGACCCAGCAAACAACTCCCCTCTCGGGGCTGCAGCCTCCTGGGCCCCGAAGTGGGGCCACAGGAGCACCCGCCTCCCAGGCCGCAGTCATGACAGTGATTCAAAGTGTGTGAATGTGTGGGACAGTGCCCGGCACGGGGCAAGCGCCACACAAAGTCTTGTATAAAAGTCTCAGAATACGGAGAAAAGGCTTGTATTCTGCGTGCTTATCACAAAGGCTCGAGGGGTGGTGGCGGGGGGTGGTCCTCTCAGGAGATTGAGACAACCCTGCTCCTACCTTTCAGAAGCAAGTGCACATCATTCAGGCGCTTTAAATTTAAAAATAAAATAGTGATGGGAATTCCCAGGCGGTCCAGTGGTTAGGACTCCACACTTTCACTGCCATGGCCCGAGTTCAATCCCTGGTTGGGGAACTAAGATGCTAAGAGCCGCGCGGTGTGGCCAAAAATTAAAAAATATATAAGTTAAAAAAAAATAAAACAGTGACAAGATATAGGCACTTCTGGCATCCTCTGTGGCTCTGTGAAATCAGCACCGGCCTCAGCTGTAAAACTCCATGATTTGATGCTCATAAAAATCATACTCTCTCCCCGCGAGACTATCCGAAGCGTGAAGTATGGCGCTTCCCCAAACGTGTGCAGGGGTTTGCTGAGCACCTACTGTGCGCCAAACACCTACTGTGCGCCAGGCCCTGTGTGAGTCGGATGAGGCACTGTGCCTCCCAGGGCTCTTCTTGTGGACACCGAAGAGGAGAGAGGGTGAGGCAGGCGTGTGAGGGGCTATGGACATGGGTGCTAAGGTTTTGGGAGGTGTCTCTAGGTGGAAGGGCCGGAGGGAGGGAGGGGCAGCCTGCTACTGGTCTCCATCCCCCCACCCCACCCCCAAGAAAGAACAGTTCCCAAGCTCACGGGCAGGGAGGGCTTCCTTGGGAGGCAAAGCCTTCAGTGCAGAGCTGGGTACCACCATCCCTCTCGGGTCCCCTGAGCCTCCTGGCGCGGCCCCGGTGCACATGTGGGGCCCCATTCTGGCCGGATCTCACTCCCCACACTGGCTGCCAGCAGAGGGGACAAGGCCGACCTCACAGACTAGGCCAGGAAGCTGGAGCTCTGGGCACCGTTTTCCAAAGGGTCCTGGTGGAAAACAGCTAAAATCTGCCCCACCTGGGAACACGATACGAGAAAGAGAGAGAGGAAGCCTCTGAAAATCCAGACGCAGGCTGGCGTCCAGGGGCCCCGGGGGCGACGAGACAGCTCAGGCAGTCGTTGCCGAGGCCTGAGGCTGCCCCCGCAGGGCTCCAGGGACCAGTGGCAGTTCCGGCGTCCCGCAGCCGCCGGGCTCCGGAAGCTCAGAGCCGAGTCTTGCAGCTGCAGCGGTGTTTTAACATCAACATGGCAGCGCTGCGCGCGGAGCCCGGCCAGCCCCGGGAGCCGGCCAGGAAGGCACACCGCTGGCCCTGAAAGGGCAGCCCTCCAGCCACGCTGGACTCACATTCCCATCGGAGTCGCCGGCGTGGGAGGCGGGCTGAGGACGGGGCTTGGGCTCCAGCGCCCAGGGGACCCCCTGCTGCTGCCGCTGCACCTGATGGCCTGGCCTGGGCCACCTGGAGCAAAGAAAGCTCCCAGGCGCCCTGCTCCCCTCACCGCCCCCCAACCCTGGGGCAGCCACATCCCAGCTCGTTTCCCCAAAGGCCCTGGTGCTTGCTTCCCTCTGAAGAGGACCCGTCGAGAAACCCACCTGTGCCGGCCACCTGCGCACAGTGCCTCAGTTTGCTCGTCTGTACGAGGAGGCTGATGCCCGGGCGCGAGCTGGCCGGTGTCCTCGGGTCCCCTCGCAGCCCTGGGCTGCAGGGGCAGGGGAAAGCACGGGGAAGCTGAGAGCTGAAGGCCGGACCCCAGACTCCCAGACGCCACACACGCCCACCCTGGGATGGCGACACAGCTGGGCCAGCCTCCAGCCCCCAGCTCCTTCTAGGGACCGGGAGAGCCCTGTTCTAGCCTGGGGAGGGGGCTGGTCTGGCTCCCTGGTCTCCTGGGCAGGCAGGGTGTGTGTGTAGGGACCAGGGAGTGCTTCTGAGAGAGTGGGACCCAGAGAACAGCGGGCTGCCCTCCGCCTACCATGCCCCCCCACCCCACCGCCTCACCCAGTGATTCACACGCCTTCCCTGGAGCTGCCGGGTGAGGATACATACTCCACGCCTGGAAGTAAAAATACACCCCGGCGTCTGGAGAGCTCCCCCTTCCTGGCTGTGGTACAGGGCACGGCCCACAGGACGGCAAAGAAAGATAAGTCCTCCGTCGTGAGAGCTCCGTGCCGCGCCGTGACAGCCCAGCCCCACCGGGGATCCGGGCCTGGCTGGCAGTGACAGGTAGGGATGGCACAGCGGTGTGACACACGGCGGTCCCCCACCTGCCACGGCACGGGACGTGGCTGAAGACCACGTGTGACCCACAGAACCTTCCGCTTAGGAAGCATCAAGCCCCCATCAGCGGAGGGTAAGTGGCAGGAGGAAGGGTCCGGGGAGACCCCACACTGACATGGGAGAGGGGCGTCCTCACCAAAGCCACAGGGAACCTTTGTAAGGGCCGAGACAGCCTTTCTCAGGCCACTGGCCTCACTGGCGGGGGATGGCTTCAACCACGATTGGAATTACACTGAATATCTTCGGCGTGTTTGGGGATTTGAGACCAAAAGCTCCCATGCTGGGCTAAGGGGACGCTGACCTGCACCCGTGAGGAAAGTGATCCGAGGAGGGACATTTAAGCCCCAAGAATTCTTATCCTTTTTATGAAAGGCTTCGGGTATCGGTGGCAAATCCTGGGGTGAGGGGAGGGACTCCAAACGGCTCGTTGCACAACACGGCACGACAGAGGCGGTGAGGGGGCCAGGCTCGGGGAGCCCAGGAGACCCCAAACGGCGCAGGCGCGGGGTCTGGCACTCAGAGCAGTGAAACTGAGCAAAGCCATACATCACAGGCCGGAGGCAGGGCTCAGGGACGGGCCGGCTCCCCAAGATGCCCTTGGGGGCCCGACGGACCCAAGCCAGCCGGATGGTGGTGGGTTGGTTTGTGGCCTCCACAAAGATATGTTCGTGTCCTAATCCCCAGGACCTGTGAATGTGACCCTCTTTGGAAACAGGGTCTTTGCACATGTGATCAAGTTAAGATGCGGTCCCACTGGACGGGGGCGGGCCCTAATTCGACATGGCTGGTGTCCTTATACGAAGAGGGAACTTTGGACGCGGGACACACAGAGGGAAGAAGGCCATGGGGGAACGGAGGGAGAGATGGAGGGGCGCATCTCCAAGGTAAGGCACGCCGAGGATGGCCGGCCACCACCAGAAGTTGGGACAGACACAGGGATGGATTCTCCCCTAGAGCCTTCGGAGGGAACACCCGGATCTCAGACCTCAGGCCTCTTTGTACCTTATCTGTTTCCCCCGCCCCACAGCAGGGAGGCCAGGAGTCCCAAGGGCACAAAGGACAGACCACGCCCACCCCAAGGAGAGTCCCTGTCAGGCCCCGCCTAGTGGCATCTTCCCAGGAAGGTGGCTCCTGTCCACTCCCTCGCCCCCAGAGCGCCCGGCAGGGCACGGGCGTTAGCGTGGTTAGAGCTGCAGGCAGAGCTTCTCACTCGGATGAGCCTTTCACAGAGACGCGAGGCTGCCAGAGCCGCTGCTGAATTCCCGCTGGAGGCCACTTCCTCCAGGGTTAAGCGGACGGGGGCTGAAAGGAGGCGCCAGGGTTTCTGGCCCCTCATGGCCTTCCTTTCCGCCAACGGGCTCCTCCCTCCGTGGCCTGACACACCTGGTTCTCTTGCACCTCAGCTTGCTCATAGGCACCTTCGCTGGTCAGGGACACATCGTGAGCCTGCAAGGGGGCCTTGGGGGCTGACCCCTGTCTCCTCAGTTCACCTGTCCATCCATCCATCCATCCATCCATCCATCCATCCATCCGTGTGTCCATCCATCCATCCATTCATCCATCGGTCCATTTATCCATCCATTTGTCCATCCATCCACCCATCCATCCTTCTGTCCATGTATGCGTTCATCTGTCCATCCTTCCATCTGCCCATCCATCCATCCATCTATCCATTTGTCCATCCACCTGTGCTGCCATCCTTCCTAACGCCGGGCACTAACTCCCTAAATTCCTAACTCCCTTCCCTCTCTGCCCTCACCCTTGGTTTCGCCATCATAGACCAGAAACAGAGAAATGAGAAAATCCAGGTGTCCTGGGTTGGGGGCAGGGGTGGGGACAGCCGAGATCCTAAGAGTTGGCAGTGACAAAGACTTCCAAGGGCTGGGCAGCCCCGGGAGATTTTCGAGGATGGGCAAAGACAGCCCACTCCCCACCACCAATTCTACCTGGTTCCGGCCCCAAGGGCTTCCCTCGGCATCTGGGTCCGGGGAACCAGCACCTCGTCCTTAGGGCAATTCCCCAGTGTGCCCCTCGGACATACACTCGACGTGTAAACGAACCCCAGGAGACCAGAGGGGGTGACGGGGCAACGCACGAGGGGGCCCAGGCCACTGGCTTCTAGGGAACCCACATCCACATCTGAGGGGTAACAGCTCAGACTGTCACCTCCAGTCACCACTCCACGGAGGGTCGAGCCCCTCATCGGCCACAGATGGGTGATCTGTCCTCATCTCACCCACCCCAGTGGTGGCTGTCCCCTCAAAGGTGCACCCCAGAGAAGACGACTTGCGACCCCAAATGCCGTCTGTGCTCTCCCTGAGGGTGGTAAGAGGGGACAGGGCTAGTTCCCTGAACTGGCCATGTTAACCTGGGGAGATGGGTATCTGCCACACACACGCGCTCATCCTTCCTGGCAGCACGACCTCTCCCCACAGCTCCGCCAGGCAGGACGGGGAGGGGGGCAGGAAGGACATGGGGTGTTCCCTCAATCTGGAGCCGGAGGTCCAGGCCCCGAGAGCTCAAAGGTGACACAGACAGCGGCTGTCCTGTTCACAGCTGTATCCCTCGCCAGGCCTGGCTTAAATATTTGTGGGATGAATGCAGCTGACAGGCGAACCCGGCCCGGCAGGCGGCCTTGGCTGTCCTGGTGTCCTGCAGGCGACCAGGGGCCCTGCAGGGAGACAAGCCCTCCGCAGAGCCTGTTCTGCAAGGCACTTCTCAGTCAAGTCTCTGATTTGCGTTTCTAATTTGGAGGGTCTGGGAGCTCATGAGGCCTTTTTAAAAAATAAAACAGTCACAAGTACATTTTGGA